TAGCCAAGATATGAAATCAACCTAAGTTGATAGATGAAGACGTTATCATCTATCAACATCGATAGATGAATACATTAAATAAATTGTATATATACACAATGGCACGTTATTCAGCCTTGAAAAAGGAGATCTTGCCGTTCAGAACAACATGGATGAACCCAGAGGATATTATGCTAAGTGAAATAAGACAGACACAGAAAAAAAGTACCGCATGATCTCACTTATATGTGGAATTTTTAAACTCAAATACATAGAGGAGTGTAGACCAGTGATTATCAGGGGTAGGGGGGCATAGAGGAAATGGGAAGATGCTGGTCAAAGGGTACAAAGTTGAAATTGAATAGGATAAAGTCTAGAGAGCTAAAGGGGAGTATGGGGACTCTAGTTAATAACATGGTGTTGCATACTGGAAATTTGCTAAGAGGATGGGTTTCAGGTGCTGTCTCCTTAAAAAAAGATAACTATGTGAAGAGATGGATATGTTAATTTGATTATAGCGATCATTTTACTATGTCTATGTATATCAAAGCATCATGTTGCATATATACCTTAAATATATACAAGTTTTTATTTTAAAAATCTAGGTGGTATTCCCCACTGCAGTTCTATTCTTAAACCTTTTGCATGTTAGTTCTGGCTAGTTCTGTGTGTAGTTATCCAGTTTCAGGGGTCTGCCGTGTCTTCTTATTCAGTTTTTAAAATTGTGGTAAAAACAACATTATTCAGTTTTAAAGACACCTGTTTTCCTGCACCCTCCTATCCTCTATCCTCACTAACTGGAAGGAGGGCTGATGCCAGCCACGGCCCCCTGGGGATTGAAGTTAAGACCACCCCTTGGTCTTCAATGATAATGAACTGGTTGGGAAGGGAAGTCCGCCTCAGGCCTTTCATACTATGGCAAGGAAGGGCAAGTTCACTCCCCTCAGTTTTCACCGACATGGCACCAGCAGGGAAGGGGTTCCTCCCCAGGCCAATTGCTACCACTGGTTGAGGGATGGAAAATCTGAATCCCAGCTAGGTCTCTACTGTCACTGCATAGGCAGTGAAGGGGAATGTTGCTCTGGGCTGCTTCACATGACTGCGTGGGAGTTGGATGCCCAGCCTTTCTTCTAGGTCTCCATTACCAACAGAGGGGAGGACTGCCATCTTCACCTCTCCGCAAGCCCTATGTGGGAGGAAAGAGTTCAGACTCTCCTCTTAATTTCCACTGACACCTCAAAGAAAAGAGTGTTCATTGTGTTTAGCTAGGTTAAGGTAAGTATTACGAAAAGTGCCCAGGAATCTTACTCTCACCTCAGGAGAGAAGTCAGACTTTTGAAAGAATATCCAATTGGGATCGAGTATCAGTGACTGGTGAAATCTAAATCTTATTTAATTTATAAGGCAAAAATATATTCAAAACACTAGAGTCTGGGCCAGGTGCGGTGGCTCACACTTGTAATCCTAGCACTTTGGGAGGCCAAGGTGGGCGGATCACGAGGTCAGGAGATCGAGACCATCCTGGCGAACACGGTGAAACCCCGTCTCTATTAAAAATACAAAAAAATTAGCCGGGAGTGGTGGTGGGCGCCTGTAGTCCCAGCTTCTAGGGAGGCTGAAGCAGGAGAATGGCGTGAACCTGGGACGCGGCAGAGCTTGCAGTGAGCAGAGATCGCACCACTGCACTCCAGCCTGGGAGACAGAGCGAGACTCAGTCTCAAAACAAACAAACAAACAAACACTAGAGTCTGAATGCACACAGACATGCACGTGCATAGTTTACATAGCTATGTAATATGAGTAGAAGTCAGCTTTGAGGATATAGTCAGGATTAGCAGGAGATGGGGTAGAGATGTGGCCTTGAGAACAAGTAAAATTGCCTTCTAAATATGGTTGCTCTTGTGCAAGATCCTCTTTCTCCCTGAAACTCAGAATTTCCGTATTTTATTTTTTAAACATTTCATATTTTAAACTGGAATAACCTGTATCTTATATGCCTTTTAAAATCTACATTTCTTAGAACTTCATCAGTGCTAGGGATCATGGTGCCCTATATGCAATATCTATTTTAATTTTTAGAGTAATTCTAAGAGGTAGATGCATGGTTATACCTGCCTTGCAAATGAGGAAATTGATATAGAGACCACATGATGAGTAAAATTAGTAAGGAACAAACCTAGATGTAACCCTAGATACATTTTACTCCAGGTTCCTCAGCTTTAATCATGTTGTCATAATTATCACACAATGCTTTTGCTTAAGAAATTGTGTATTAATGTGTTTGGCACATCGCAGTTTCTCACACGATAAAGATTCCCTTTCCCTTGTCCTCCTAATGCCATTAGTCAACTCCAAAGCAGGAAAAGAATATTTGCCACCTAAGTTCCAGCATGGCATGAAGGAGGGGTGAGATACAAGGCAAGAGGAAAGCAGGACACTGTTTCAGGCTGCAGCACTGAGATTATATTCATCGTCTAGAATCAATGTGATAATAGCTCTAAGATGTCTTTAAGGTAGTGATCAAGGTGATCATTGAAAAGAAAGCACAGCAAGTTCTACTAGAAGCCTTTCAAATCTCATCTGGTTGTTCAAATAAATCCCATGACCCTCAACTTTGTTACACTATTCTCAGCCGAATAATGAGTCTTCCCTCAGGTGAAACATAGGCTATAATCACCCATACTCATGCAAGGCAGCAAAGGTCCAGTGGGCAGGGCCCTGGGGAAATGTGCTGTACTGTTTCTTATCCAGGGAACAACCTGTTACAGCTAAATCCCTATGATATGATTGACATTTTAATATATTACTCTCGCAACCCTCAAAGTACCTTGAGTGGGAGTAAGTATTTTCTCTGTTCTTCAAATTCAGCAACATAGGCTCAAAAATGGGAAATCATTTGTCTACGGTCCAAGAGTGGATACATGGTGGGATCATGAATGACCTCAGATACATCCAACTCTAAAGTTATGTTTTTTTCCTACTATTCTCCTCTGCTGAAGTAACTTGCTTCTATCTTCCGACCTTCTTGTGTGAGTTCATGAGCTCTGCTTACAAAGATAAGCATAGGTGTAAGAGGCAACGATGTCCTACCACTTGGGACAAGCCACTCCTCAAAACTCCTCTACTATGTAATGACATAGATCATAGATCTTCTAAAGGAGACAGAATCCTGTTTCTTGGAAAAGATCTAAAATAAATAAAAATGAGATTTCAGTAACATCCAAAGATCTTTCAGGTCTTCGAGATTCCCTCTTACTTATTCAACAAGAATTAATATAGAATCTTGTTAGGGGACGGTAGAAGAAACAGAAGATAAAATGGTTCCTGTTCCTAAATAAAATTTCAAAGTCTAGAAGGGGAGAAGACATAAGCAGATATTCAGAGTGAGGCATGTGACATGATGACTTAAAATTCTGGATAAGTCATAACCGTGGAGCACAAATGGTGGCAGTAGTGCCATTGTGGGTAGAACAGTGTGGTTATCAAAGTCCTCCAGAAGAAAATAAAGATTTTTTTCCAGGCAGTTATAAATGGAGACAGAAAAGTATGTACAAAAACTAAACCAGAAGCAATCCAGTGAGTTCAAACCAATCACAAAGGGGTACGTGTGGCGGGATAGCAAGATGCCCTGTGAGAGTGCTTTGGAGGTAAAACTGGAAATGCAAGGCAGGTTCTGAACACCAAGAGTGATGAAGGCGGCACCGAAAAGTTGTCTTAGGATGCTATGGGCAAAGATGCCAGAGGGGAGTCTAAAGGTTAGATTTGTGTTTCAGAAAAGTGATTCTGGCTCTCATTGTGGAGTCAAGTGAAGAAGGAAAAGGAGTCTGTGATGGCACTCATGGATTTGTGTCTATAGTGGAGAAAACCCTTCCACCAATGTTTACTCCAACTTTTATATCTCTACACTAAATCTCTAGGATCTTATGGGGTCAAAGGTGAAGTTGACCCCACAAAACATAAGCCAATCTTATATTTTCAGAATCAGAAAGATGTACTATGACAGGGGTGGGGAGAAAGATACTGAGTAAAACACTATCATTTCATAAGTGAGCAGACTGAGATGACAAAGACAAACACAGCTACTGTAAGTGTCCAGAAAGTGAAGGCATCGGCATTGCCTATTCTCCCTGTCCAACTATCAGGGAAGTGGGCCTGAGGCATGGATGGACGACTATGATACACCCAGTCATATTCTCTTATTGGTGCAGGCAGAGCACTAATGTAATGTAATGTAAGGGAAACATTCTATTGCTTGGGATGAGTGCCTGTCCTAACATTCAGGACACTTTATAGAGCTCTTGATCTCCCTTTCATCATATTTAAGTCGGAAACTATGAATGAGGATTTCCAGGGTGAGAAGAAAATTGGGCAACCTCATGGTGCAGTGACAGAATGCTCTTAGTAGTTAATTTAGTCTGTCCCAGTCTTCCAATGCTTAGAAATCGAGTTTCCTATTCTCTAAAGTGAGGTTATAACACCTACATTCTCAGGTTGTTGTAGGAGGATTCTGTAGGATGATTTTGTGTTACTATCTACTCCAAAACTACATAGGAAATGCAGCCTTCAATCTGTATGAAATCACATCCACAGTTGGCTTTCAATCCTTTCATATTATAAGCCAATTGTTCTCACAGTGTGGTCCCTGGACCAGCAGCACTAGCATCACCTGGGAACTTGTGAGCAATGCAAATTCTCAAGCTCCCCTGCAGAACTGGAAACTAAAAGTGAGCCCCAGAAATCTCTGCTTTAGCCATATCTCCAGGTGTTTCTGATATACATGAAGTTTGATAATAATTGGTATGGCAAGCTGTGGGCCTAGAACTGTCTTCAAGGATGACATTGCTGCTATCTATCATTCCTGAGTGGGTGTTTTGGACTAACCCTCACTTGTTCCTGGGCCCTATTTTATTTGCATTTCTACCATAGACATGCTAGTGCAATGAAATTGTGGTGCCCTTCCAGATACTGTTGAATGGAGGGAAAGTGGGAAGGGGACTGTAGAGAGAAAATGGACACCAGAATAAGCCTCTTTGCTTTAATGAGTCAGGGATCCTAGAGCAGGAGACAGAGGCTGGAATGTTCAAGTAGTGGGAGAAACAGGGGTAGCGGCCATCGTAGTCATCAAAGATATCAAACCATTAGATATCATCAAAGGTGTTGCTGCTGTTGCTGTTGTTGCTGTTGTTGCTGTTGCTCTTGCTGTTACTGTTGAAGTTTTCGTAGTCTTTGAGCGGACACAGAAAGAAGGATAAGCAGAACGTTTGTCAGCTGGAACACAGCATGCCTTACGTTTGCCGCACATTACCCAACCATGTTCTGAACGCACCTCTTCAGGTTTGCACGTCTTCTTACAAATTCCAATGTCGTTTAGACACCTTTTCACATACAAATTACCTGAATAAAGGAATTATATAGATTATTAAGCCTAAGTATTTATCACAGGAGGATAAAAAATAGCAATAGTTTTTGAGCACTGTTTATTCAAGTGCCTTTCCAGTTGCTTTAGCATGTTTTTCCTAATCATAAATACCTACTTTGAGGTTTAAGTGAAATTTTATAAATATAAACACACATAGAATTCTTTAGATATGTGTATGTTAGAATACACACACACACACACACAAAGTGTAGAAACAGGAAGACATACAAGTATGTGATGTGTGTCGATGTATGTCACTTATGTTCCAGAGACAGAGGGAGAAATCAGGCAATTTAAACTCATAGAATTTCAAGGATGCAATAGGTCTAAAACATTTTTTGAGACAACCATGAGAGCATTATAATTTCCTCTTATCCACTATCAATTTGAACATTTCTGCAAATTCTAGGGAATATAAACTACAATCTCTAGAGGCGGGCTATGGAGTTATTATATAACCCTCCACCCATTAGGAAATTATACTAAAGAATATTAGATTATTTCATTGTGTCTTATGTAAAAGGTGGGACTGAGTCCAGTGTAAAAAACAAAATCATACATGAAAAACTGTTCTCAAGATGGAGAAGGACTTTCTAAGTTAATGGAAGAATGCAAAGAAAACACCAATAGATTTGACATCATGAAAATGAAAATTAGGTGTCTCAAATAAATAATGCATTTTAGAAGCAACCAATATATTTGAAAATATTTGCAAGAAATATGAAATACAAATGTTAAAAATACAAATACTCCAATAGTAACCATTGGTAATATGTGCCAGTTAACTTAGAAGAAATAATATCCTTGGACCAAGCAATGGAACTTCTAAAATTTACCTATACAAACAGAGAATCTCACAATGATATATTAATAAGGTTGTATAATGTTATTTACAATACTCACACATTAGAAAAAATCATCCAAATGGCACACAATTAAGGACTCTCCAAGTTAATATTGGTACAAAAATATGACAGAATTATAAGCATCTACTGCAAATTGTATTTTCAAGGAATATTCAAAACCTGTGAAAATTTTCCTGATAGAATCTTAGGTAAAAAAATAAAGCAGGTTGTAAACTCATATATCAGTTGGTTACAAGTGAAAAAAAATGCAAGCAGTGATGAAATGTGGCCAATTTATTTCTAAATAACTTTCAGTGTTCTTGTCTTGGTTTTGTAAATATAAGCTACAGAATCAATTAAAAATAAATGCTTACACAAACAGAGCTGAAATCTGATACAGATTTGAAATAGTTTCCACACAGAGTTTTTTTTTCCTTTTCCATTTTACAGTCCTATACATATATAGAAACAGCCTTCCCTGTTCTGTTAACAACGTGCAAGAACAAACAAACAAACAAAAAATCAGAGACCTTCTCTGTAAGACCAAGAACACTGGGGGAAGTAATATTATGTAATTGTTACCTCAGGAGGGAATATCGACCACAAAAAAAAAAAAAAAAAGGGTGAAATGAGGCAGAGCTTGACTGAACTGACCTGAAGTGACAGGATAGAAGTTTGGGATTTCAAGATGATTTCTACCTTTGGAGGCAACTTTATGGGATTTGCCTTACCCTACTCCCCAGCTCCGATCATAGATCCTGCTCTACCCTGAGAGCCTTCAAGTTTCTTAGAACAGTGGTGGTCTGAAGAAGTAGGACAAATCTCAGCCCTGCTCCCAGTGAGAAGCCAGACCCCATTTCCACAGACCACTTAGAAATAGGGACTCCATGTGCAGGACCCTGTTCTAGGCCAGTGTTTCTTCTTCCCCAAGATTCTGTTTACCTGAGACCAATTGGGCCAGGAGCATAAAAACTGCAAGGGTGAACAGTAGGGACTTCATCAGGAGGCAGTGGGTTCTATAGAGTCCAGAAGTCTCTATTCAGTATGACTCTGAACACAGATCTTTATTGTCTTTCTTAGGTGGGGTTGGGCTCAGCCAGTAGATTGGGAGGATGTAGGATATTGTGCCAACACAGCTTCGATCTATTGGCCAGCAACTCTAATTGAGGCATCACTGTTCAAGAGTCCTGTGCTAGGCATGCCTTGGGGGAAGGATAAAGACTTAGAAGAGAAGTTGCAAACTCTGCTGAAGTGTATGGCAATTTGGAGAGAAAGAATTACAGGAAGAAATCATGCTGCTCTACCAAGGCTGGGTACTCCTAGCTGTTTTTTCACAGCCTCCAGTGTTAGTTCTATCAGGGTTCATCTTACTGCATGTAGCAGTCTGGTCACCTCTCTGTCTCTCCACCTAAAATACAATGTCTTTCTGATCACTTATGACATATTATTCATATATATATATATATGTAATTCGTTTCTGTATATTATTCTTTTCAGAGAAGGATAGAAGCAATTGTTTTTTAACTGATCAAATTAATGCTTTGTTGATGATCTGCAAATTTAAAAAGGCTTTTATAAAGAAATAAATAACTGCTCAAAGATATACGCACAAAGAAGTCTTGTCACTCTGTAGAGTAGCATAAAATGAAGTGCATCCATATGTTTAATTCTGTGCTTCTGTTAAAAGGAGTGCAGCAGATTTTATCTTATTAAACATGTTTTGAGTAAAAAGCAACATTTTAGAACAACATGCATAGTAATGATTCCAATTTATGTGAAAAAGTTATATGTATGTGAATATAAGTAAATGCATGAACTAAAAATGCAAATCACATGTCATTCTAATAAAAGTTGTGTTCTCTGGATGGGATTGAGTTTAAGGTGGCAATCAAAGAGAATTTTATTTGTGTTAAAGTTTTTTTTTGAGTGCCTGACTATATTGTGACTGAAAGCTATAAGGTCCTAGAGGTTTTGTTCTTTGAGAGGAGTTTTTAGTTTTTTTTCATTTCAAATTTTTGAGATATAATTGATTAAACTGCATTATTTAGAGTGTATAATTTGATTAACTTGGCAAAAGATGCACTGGTGAAACCATTACCATAATCAACATAATGTTTCTCATTCCTCTTTGATATCCACTCTTTCCTCTTCCCTTCCCTCCCTCTACCTCCATGATACCCAGACAACAGCTGACCTGCTATTTGTTCTTGTAGCTTTCTTGGCATTCTCTTGAATATTATGTAAATGAAGTAATATAGCATGAATACTTTTCTGCTTGGCTTTTTCCATCCAAGGCAATTATTTTGAATCATATATGTTTCATGTACTAATAGTTAATTCCTTTTTATTGCTTGTATTCCTTTTTATGCATATATGATCATTTATTTATCCATTTACCCCCTAATGAACATTATGATTGTTTTCAGATATTAGCTATTACAAATAAAACTGCCATTGAAAATTTGTGTGCAACTCTTTGTGTAGCCATATGCTTTCATTTCTCTTGGATAAACAGCTAGAATTAGAATGACGGACTCACAGGGTATGTGTATGTTTTACTTATTAAATATGCATATACTATGCTTTTTCCCTTTGAAAATTGCCCTTTCTCTCTGTCCTAAGATGTCTCAGTGTTGTCCTTATCAAACTGATAGTAAACGTTCCATGTTAATTATGGATGTAATAAACCTCTGTGTTCCATAGTTCCTGTAAATATTTTTTTCTGGCATGCAAAAAAAAAAAAAAAAAAAAGAGAAAAAAAAAAAAAAAAAAAAACTACCAAATTGTTTTCCAAAGTGGTACCATTTTATATTCCCACTAGCAATATTTGAGAGTTCACTTTTTCCCCCACATCTTTACCAATATTTACCATAGTTTTCTGTTTTTGCTTTTTTAGTTTTAGCTATGTGTTTTATTTATTTTTGTTAAATTTTAATTTTTTTTTATAGATTTAGGAATACAAGGGCAGATTTGTTACATTGATATATTGAGTAGCAGTAAAGTCTGGGCTTTTAGTGTAACCATCATCACAATAGTGTACATTGTACCAATTAGGTAATTTCTCATCCCTCTTAGATTTAGTAGTATTTGTTTTATGAATCTGGGTGCTCCTGTGTTAGGTGCATATGTATTTAGTAGGATGGTTATATCTTCTTGTTGAATTGATCTTTTTATCATTATATAATGACCTCCTTTGTTTTATTTTACTGTTGTTGATTTAAAGTGTGCTTTATCTAAGTATAACTACTCCTCCTCTCATTTGGTTTCTGTTTGTGCAGAACACCTTTTTCCATCCCTTTACCTGAATTCATGTCTTTATTAATAAGGTGAGTTTCTTGTAAACAGCATATAGTTAGTTCATGTTTTAAAATCTATTTTGCCAGTCTATATCTCTTCAGTGGGGGCATTTAATCCCTTTTTATTCAAAGTTAATATTGATATATGAGGATTTGTTCCTGTTGTAATGTTATTTTTTTTACCTAGTTGTTCTGTAGTCTCAATTAATTGTTTTATAAAACCTGTGAGTTTTATACTTTTGTGTGTATTTATGATGGTGAGTACTGAACTTTAATTTTGACTTTTAGAATTCCTTTGAGCATTTCTTATAGGACTGGTCTAGTGATGATGAGTTATCTTAGCATTTGCTTGTCGGGAAAGACTTTATTTCTCCTTCATTTATGATGCTTAGTTTAACAGGATATAACATTCATGTTTGACAGGTTATTTTTCTTTAAGAAGTCCGAAAATTAGACCCAATCTCTTCTGGCTCATAAGGTTTCTGCTGAGAAGTCCACTGTTATTCTGATGGGATTTCCTTTATAGATGACTATATACTTTTCTCTTGCTGATTTTAGAATTTTTTTCCTTCATGTTGACTTTAGACGGTCTCATGACTACATATCTTGATGAAGTCTGTCTTGTAATGTATCTTCCTGGCGTTCTTTGAGCCTCTTTTATTTAGATGTCTAAATCCCTAGGCAAGACTAAAGAGGTTTTCCCCAGTTACTTCCTCAAATAGTTTTTCCAAACTTCTCACTTTTTCTTTTTCCCCAGGAATACCTGCGACTCATAGGTTCAGTAGTTACTTTACATAATCTCAAACTTCTTGAAAGTTCTGTTCATTTTTTAAAATTCTTTTTTCTTTATTTTTGTCTGACTGGGTTAATTCAAAAGAGACTTGTCTTCAAGTTCTGAACCTCTTTCTTCTGCTTGGTTTAGTCTATTGTTAGAGCCTTCAACTATATTCTGTAATTTCTTTTTTTCTTTTTCTTTTTTTTTTTGGAGACGGAGTCTTGCTCTGTTGCCCAGGTTGGATGAATTTTTCATTTACAGAAGTTCATTTTTAAAAAACTATTTAGGCTGGGCACAGTGGTCTCACACCTGTAATCCCAGCATTTTGGGAGGCCAAGGTGGGCAGATCACTTGAGGTCAGGAGTTTGAAACCATCCTGGCTAACAAGGTGAAACTTTGTCTCTACTAAAAATTAAAAAAAATTATCTGGGTGTAGTGGCACACATCTGTAGTTCCAGTTACTCAGTAGGCTGAGGCAGGAGAATCACTTGAACCCTGGAGGCAGAGTTTGCAGTGAGCCAAGATCGCACCACTGCACTCTGGCCTGGGCAACAGAACAAGACTCCATCTCAACAACAACAACAACAACAAAAATAAACAAACAACAACAAAAAAAACTATTTTAAAAAATCTATCTCTAGTAGATTTTTCATTCATAACCTGAATTGTGTTTCTGATTTGTACTGATTTTTTACTTTCTCTTGGACCTCACTGAGATTCTTTAAAATCAATATTTTGAATTCTTCGTTTGGTATTTCAAATATTTCATTTTGGTTAGGGTTCATTGTGGACGAGTTAGTACAATCCTTTGGGGTGTTGTAACACTCTGTTTTTTCATACTTCCAGAATTGTTTCTTGGGTTTCTTCTCATTTGGATCAACTATCTGTTCTTATTTTTAAATTTACTTTCATTTGGTCAGGACTTTTTCCCCCTTGAGGATGTGATTATAATATACATTGTGTAGGGTTATTTGGCTTTGGTTCTGGGTGCTTTCAGTGGCAAAGACTCTGTATGAGTTTCTTGATTATAAATAGTCTTTGTGTGGTGGCTTTCTCAAATGCTGGTTGTAGTAGTGATATGCTGGGCTAGGCCACCACCTCCTGCAGGGCCAGAGTACAGAAGTCTCAGGAAGTTTAACTTGTTTCCCTGTGCTGAGCACTTGTGTCAGCCAGTTTTTTATTGGGTTTTGCAGTTAGACCTCCAGGCTACTATGTGGTGCTTATGAATAAAATCTGGGCAGAAGCAGGTGGGTATATGCTTGATCTTTGTTTACTGGGAGAAGCTCTCTGTTGCCTCAGGCCAGGGGCAGGTCTATGGAATATACACTAGCCTGAGCTCCCTGCTCAGCCCCTAAAGGGGAGGATAAAGCTGGGTGGAGCTAAGCTGTCAAACCTTCCTTCAAATAGCTGATTGGCAGGCACAAACACCAGCACTTGCGGTAATGACGGGGAGAATAGCATATACTCTGTATGAATTCCTTGGTTATAAATAGCCTTCATGCGGTGACTTTCTCAAATGCCAGTTGTAGTAGTGATGCACTAGGCATGTGATGAGGCTAACAGTTTCCTGCAGATCTTGAGTGGCAAAAGTCTTGAGACGCTTATCTTTTTCTCAAGCACTTTGCACTTGTGTCAACACTTCTATTGGGTTGTGCAGTTTGACCTCCAGGCCAGTAGGTGGCTCTTGCAGTTAAGAGCCAGATGTGGTGATAGCAGGGAGTTTATATTTGATCTTTGTTTACTGGGAGAAATACTATTGTCTCAGGAAATGGTCTGTCTGTGGAATGCACACTGGCATGGGCTCCATTCTCAGCTCCAAAGTAGGGGCAAAATTGGGCACAGCTTTGCCCTCAGATTTCCCAATGGCAACCGCAATCATTAGCCCTGACAGGAGTGTCAAGGAGTTATGTAGACTTTTTATGATTTCCTTGGTTGCTAATAGCTTTACTGTAGTGGCTCTCTCAAATGCCTGCTATAGTAGTAACGTACTACTTATACTAGTAATGT